GCACCATTCAACCCACGGAAAGTTCAAATTCAAAACTTTTACCTCCCTTTTACACTCAAAGAAATGCTGGTGCTGCAATGGTGTAAGTAAGCATGAGCCAGCTAACCACAAGGTTGTCAGTTCAAAACCACCTGCTTTTCCACTTCAGAAAGATGAGGCTGTCTCCTCTCATAAAGATCTATAATTTTGGAAACCCTATAGAACAATTCTGCTCTGTTCTGTAGGGCCATTTTGAGTCAGAATTGACTTGAAATTGGGCTTCAGTTTTGGTTTTTACACTCAGAGAGAATTAAAACCAGCAGTGTCCTACTCTAAGCAATGGCCTACCCAAATCTCCTAGGCTGAGAAAATAAAACTTAAAGGGAGAAAGAGAAAAGGAAAATAACTTCCACTTTCAGTATCTGTGTTATATGAGTATGTTGTTTTCGTTGTCAAGTGCTGTTGAGTTGGTTTCTGCTCATAGCATCCCTGTATAGGGTTTTTAGGAGTGGCTGGTGAGTTAGAACCGCCAACCTTGAAATTCAACCTGACCTCGCGGTCCAGTCAGTACTTATCCTACAGCGCCACATGGTTTAACTTCTCTCCTATGCCACCAGAAAGGAGCTCTGGTAGCCTAGTGGTTACGAATCGGACTTCGAACCGCAAGGTCAGCATTTCGAAGCTGCCAGCTGCTCCGCGGAAGAAAGATGAGGCTTTGTGCTCCTGTAAAGATTTACAGCCTTGGAAACCCTGTGCAGGGTTGCTATGGGTTGGAACCGATTCGACGGCATTTAACAACAACAATGCCACCAGAAGTGTTGCTGTTAAATCTTTATAAGAAGATAGTACACTTTCTATTGGGACATTTGCTTAGTATATAGGTAATTATCATTTTCCAAAGTATTTCTTATAGTTTTGCTGGAAGGATAATGCTGTTAGCATCTGCTGTCAGTATGTTATAATGAATACACTAATGTCCTATATTCCTCTTCTTTCTCAAAATAAGGTTTTGGAAGCTAAATAATTTTCAGAGCTTTGAAAGGCTGAAAAGAGTTACCAGAATGATTAACATAACCATTCCTATTTTTCATACGCTCAAAATGGTATCCCTGCCTCTACTCCCGCCCCCATGTACAGTAAGATGTGCTGAGTTTTGTTTCCAATTTGGAAAATGCAGAGGGAAAGCAAAATATGTGAAGTAAAAAACTTATTTGGATATCCTCTAAATTATTTTCCTTTTAGTTCTTCAAATTTAAGTTTGTTGAAATATTCTGTATTTTATAAATTATATGAATACATTTTGATTCTCTTTTATAAATATTGAACTTAGAGTATTGTCTTACCCAGTGTGGATAAATAAAAAGTAGAAAATGACTGGTTTCTCTGGAGACAAAAGTTATCCTTTTATGCTTTAGATATTCAGCAAATCTGTTAAGAACCTACTGTGCTCCATGCATATTCGGTCACTGTATGTATATTGTCACTTTTTAGTTTAGCTTTACAAAGTCAATTATCTTTCAGAGAAATACAGAAAATAAGAAAACATGTTTTGTATTTAGCATTTACTGTTTCTGACATTCTACTTTCCTTCTCAAGGCCTGAGCTCTTATTTAGTATCATTTTTCTTTAGCCTGGAGAACTTCCTTTAACATTTCTTTTTTTAAAAAGTAATTGTTATAAAAATATATGTATAACAAAAATTTGCCAGTGATTATGTTCATTGTGTCCTTTAACATTTCTTACAGTGCAGGTCTACTGGCAACAAATTCTCTCAACTTTTGTTTGTCTGGACAAGATCATTTTCATGTTTGAAGGCTGTGTCCACTGAATACAAAATTCAGTGTGGACAAGTTTTCTTCTTTAGCACTTTAATAATGCCATTCCATTATTGTCTTTTAGCTTATATTGTTTCTGATTAGAGGTTATTGAAATTTTAAACAGAATTGTTCCCTTAAGTTTTTATTTTTTCCTCTGGCTACTATTTAGATTTTCTCTTTATAGCTGATTTTGACCAACTTCTTTATGATATTCCTTGGTGTGGTTTATTTGTGTTTATCCTGCTTGGAATTTGTTTTGCTCCTTGGATCTATAGGTTATGGTTTTGACCAAACTCAGAAATCTTCTTCAGCTTTTATTTCTCCAAGTAATTTTTTTGTCCTCCTCTTTCTGTGATGCCAGTTATACATGGGTCAGAACACTTGATATTATTACAGATTACTGAGGCTATGATTCCATTTTTGTCTTTACCCCTTTTTCTCTTTCATTTGGGGAAGTTTTATTTTTATTATTTTTATTTCTTTAGCTTCACATTCATTGCAATAATAAGAAGCACCAACCATTCCTCCCATAATTCCTCAGTTTGGTTTGGTAATCCATTGCAATAGCCACACAGGACTCAGACACCATACTCAGCGTTATGGGGTTCAATAGAGAAGATAACAGGTTACAATACAGGATTAGAAAATGTTCCAATCAGCTGCTGATAAATACCCATAGGACACACCATTCCACTGTACACCTCAGCCAGAAGGCACTTGGCTCTAACTCACCCACTTAAGATCCTGGAGGGCACACCACTCTATAAGCAAGCTTCCTGCCCAAAGTTACTCAACTTTACTTGCTCCGTGGGTTGGGAAGTCCACTGCTCTGTCTCATGCTCTGGTTCTTGGTTCTGCTGATGCCCCTCCTCTGCCTTCCTCCAGTGTCACGGCTTTCTGTGCCTGGATTGCAGAGGTTCAATACATAGCGAACTCAGGGTCCAAAGGATGGACTCATCTCCTGGCTCTTCTTTGAAGATAGTGAGATCCTTCCTCCTGCTTCTGAGATGGTTCATGTTATACCCATACTAGAGTTTCAAGTTTTTACAATTACAGTGAATTCTGTTAACATTTACAGCTGAATCATGTCATCCTAACAGTATCTTCTCCAACAGTCTCTTTACCCAGGCCCACCAGGGTAGAAACGTTGTTTGGTGGAGTTATAGACTGTGCCTAGAAGACACATAAATAATTCACTACACTACATTCAAGAATTTTTTTTTTTCTCCTGAAAATAAGCTCATCAATATAATATCTTATTTCAGATACTGTTTTATCTTTGGAAGTTTAATTAAGTTCTATTTTTATGTTGTAAAGGTTTCTGTCTGTTAATTCTGTCTTCTCTGTCATTTTGGAAACACTATTAACTAATTTTTCTTCTGATTATGTTTCTGTTTCTTTTGATACATAGTAATTTTTTTTTTTACTGTAAACTGAATGTTTAATGTCTTAAAATTTTATTTTTCTTTGATGTGTGTTGAGTTTTATTTTTTTCACGTAAAGTTACTTGTATGACAGCTTGATCATATTAAGACTCATTTTAAAGCTTTATTTGGGTAAATCTAGAATAGCCTTTTGGGAGTGCAGTGGCTCTGTATGATAAGAACTGGACTGTGAATCACAAAGTCAACAGTTCAAGCCTACCAGCCACTATGTTGGAGAAAGACATGATTCTCTATTCTTGCAAAGATTTAAAGCCTTAGAAACACTATACAGGGTTGCTATGAGTTGGAAGCTACTCCATAGCACTTAACAATAACTACAGAGAATAGCCTTTTACTCTAATGACTGGCTTTTCTGAAAGCTCTGGATGTTCAGCGTAGCTTCCTAAAACTCATATTTCTTTCAGCTCTGAGTTATGGGAGTTGTTAGCTTACAGCTACCCAGCAATTTTCTTTGTCTGAACTCATGGAATTTCACCCTAACTTTCACACGTTGGTATTAGGTCCAAGACTCAAGTTCAAGCAGACTCAAAACAGAAGTGGTATTGTGAGTTAAGCATTGGGCTTCTAACTGTAAGGTTGGTGGTTCAAACTTACCATTTGCTCCAGAGGAGACACATAAGGCTGTCTGCACCTGTAAAACTTTACAGTCTCAGAAACCTTACATAAGGTTGCTATGAGTCAGAATCAACTCCAGTTTGGTAATGGTATGCACATATACTCTTCTCCTTGGAGGTGCTACAAAGTGCACTTTCCTTAGTCTCCCCAAACTCTGAACTCTGTCTTCTCAACTCAATGAGATAGCGAAGTTTTCCTTTGGCATCCCTTTCTTGTGACAAAATCTGTATATATAAAACTTTAGACAAAAAAAACTGAGGTGATATTAGGGCTTATTTCATTGGTTTTTCTTCCCTTAGGGATTGCCGTCCTTTACTATCTGTTGTACAGTGTCTGAAAATGATTATTTCATATATTTTATACAGTTTTCTAGCACTTTATAGTAGAGGCAGAAGTATATCCTCTCTGGAGATAGAAGTCCCAATTTATTTAGTTTTGATTCTAATTTATTCTTATTTAAGTAAATGGTTAATTAAATGGCAATCTTGCCTAGCTGATTTATTCAGGATGTCATAACAACATAGGAGTCCTGGTGGTGCAGTGGTTAAGTACTTGGTTGCTAACTGAAAGGTCAGCAGTTCAGACCTGTCATCTACTCTGTATGAGAAAGATGTGACAGTCTGCTTTCATAGATTACAGTCTTGTAAATGCTATGGGGCAGTTCTCCCTGTCTTCTAGGGTCGCTATGAGGCAAAATTGGCTGCGTATAAACAGTTAGAATGTCATAGCCTGGAGAGTTGGACGATGCTATTTATTCACCTGGAGGCCTGGTGTGGCACTGTAGGATAAACCCTGGACCACAAGGTCAATTTGAACTTCAAGGTCTGCGATTCAAATTCCGCAGCTGCTTCTCCGGAACCCTTATACAGGGTCCCTGTGAGTTGAAACTGACTCAGTGGCACTTAACAATAGCAATGTATTCACCTGGTATAGAATTCTAAGTGAGCACTGATTGGATTGTCTTGAACCACAGCACAATTAATTAGTAACAAGATCTAACAATTTTATTAATTTCCCATCAATTTAGGACTAGTCAAGTTTGCAAAAAATGAGTAGTTTTTGTTATTCCTTTGTGAGCCGTGTTTTCATGATGAATATTGTTCCAGCTGTTTTGTTAATCTGTTCTATTCTTTTACAATTTTAGGAGCAGCATTTCTTGCTATTACCACCATCTATGCGGAGTCTGGGTCAGGTTTTGTAGTACCAAGCTCTTCTGCCAAAGCTGGAGTAGAAGCTTTGAACAAGTGAGTGCTAATCTCTCAATCCTGCCACTGAACATGCAGCTTTTCCCTAGGAAAAAGTGACATTACAGACTGATTCAGATTCACCAGGAAACAGTCTGTCTCCTGAATGAGTTCTATTTGTCTATAGCTACACTGTCTAACAGAACTGTCTGCAGTGATAGGGATATTCTATAAATCTGTATTCTCCAGTAGCCACTTGTGGCCACTGTGACTGAGAGGCTGAATTTTATTTAAAATTTTATTTAATTGTAGATCTGGGTTGTTGTTGTTAAGCGCCGTTGAGATGGTTCCAACTCATAGGGCCCTGTATAGAGTTTCTCAGGAGTGGCTAGTGAGTTTGAACCACTGACCTTGTGGTTCAAACCAACCTTATGGCTGAGTGCTTACTGTACAGCACCACACCAGGACTCCTACATTCAGGTAGGCATATATAGGTTTTTTGAAAAACTATATAGCTTTCTTTTTCACTCTCTTCTGTATCATTATTTGTGTCCTCCCTGACCTCTGGTAAACATATCATTATGCTTTTTTATGGTACCTACTGTACAAGATTAATAGGACTAATATAGGTCCGTGATCACGTGCTAGGTCTAGTGGCCTTTTCTTAGCAGTATATAACTGCCCTTTGAATCTGTCATACGCTGAATTTTCTTCTGCCTTTGCCATGATACAGATTCTCATCATTACTTGCCTGGCTTACTGTAATAATACTATATGTTTCTCCCCTATGAATCTCTCCTTTAGTTTTTCTAAAATCTGTATTCCTACCAGAATTGTTCTTCTAAAAATATGTATCTGACTATGCTACCACCTACCCAAAAGCCTTAGATTCTTTTCTATTATACTCTATTATCAAAGCCAAAGTTCAGTATGATGTTCTAAATAGACTTGTTCTTCACCTCTTTAGTCATTTGCTTATTTATTAATTCACTCAATAGATAAATATTTGTTGAGTATGCTCTGTGTGCTTTGCACTGTACTAGGTACCAGGGATATGATAGTGAAGTAAATAGAACAGTCCTCAACCTCACCAGAACTCATAGTCTTAGACCTTTCTGTCTATTATTCCTGTGCTTTAATTTCCATTGAATTACTCCATATATCCTTAAGATGCCACATAATTTCTTCCCTATATTTCTGGATTATGCTGTTGTTAGAGTTTGTGATATTTTGCCTACCTTCAAGGCTTTCATCATATCACCTCCTCTTGGATGTTTTCTTATTATAGGAGATATAATTAATCATTCCTTACTTTGTGCATTCTTAAAGCTTTATAAAAATCCAATCCAATGAAAATACAGCACACTAATAATTGAATGTCATGTAGTACTAAAGATTCTGAATGGAAGGCAGTGTACAATAGAGTAGGGGCACAGGAAAGGGCATGATATAATTCTGTGTAGTATATCATTAAATCTAGTTTGTGTAACTGACTTCTCCAGTAGAATGTCTTATGCATTTTGTGTCCTCATTATCAAGTGGGATCTGCCACAGGTTTGTGTTGAGTATTTATTGAGCTTCAATATTATTGAATAAAATATTTTGTCTGGTATTTTTCTTTCTATTGTTGTTGTTAAGTGCCATTGAGTCAGTTCTGACTTATAGCAACCCTGTATAGGGTTTCTGAGGAGTGACTGGTAAGTTTGAACCAAGCTTCCAGTTCAAATCAATGTTGTGGTCTAATGCTTGTCTTAAATCTCCAGGGTCTGCATTATCCAGTAGCACCACACCAAGACTTCTTTCTTTCAGTGTTGTTGTTAAATGCCATTGAGTCAGTTCCAGCCCATAGCAACCCTGTATAGTGTTTCCAAGGGTGAACTTGAACTGCCAACCTTGAAGTTCAAATGACTTTGCAGTCCAGCATATTAACCTACAGTACCACATCAGGACTCCATTGCTTTCAGTAGATTCCTAGTATTTCTTAACATTGCAATGAATCAAACATTTGCTTGAGATAGAAAGAAGTGTTACTCTATTCAGAAATAGAATCTAAGTTTAAATAGAGATAATTACCTTTTTTGAAGGTCAGATGATAATTAGAAAATGAAGGATTAGAATGTGATGATTTGGCCCTGTCTGTACACTATTAATCTTTGTTTTGTTGGGATGATTGCCTCCTGTGAGCCTGCGTAGCTCAACTTTGCATCCCTGCAGGGTGTACTGCAGATAGGAGGTGCTCACTAACTGTACACCTGACTCTTCAGCCCGCACTCCTATCAGCGATCTTCACATACTTTATTGTACACAGTCATACTGAATAAGTCATCCTGAATAAGTTTGTGTCTTTATCCTTTAGTCTTTACTCATACTGGCCTGTGTGCCTGAGCTGTTCTCCTAGCTTTATTTCCACTCTTTACAAAGAAGCTTCAAAAGTTTGTGGGACAATTCCATTATCTTTTAATTCCTGTTTTCTAAGAACTTTTTGAAGTCCCCTTGTGTTGTCTTTGGCCTCCTTTAATCTTCCCTGCTCTGCTCTCTGACCCCTAGCAACTCCTAATCCTTTTTCAAAATGTCAGCTTAAATATCACCTCCTGAGGGAGCCTTTTTTCTTGCTCCCAGTAGACATAGGTGCTACTTCCTTCAATCAGTCATGGTATGCATTGAACAAGTCTCAGTAAAGTAACTAGTTATTACACAATGAACTGACCTTCTTTAAGAATAGGGACTGACTATTGGCAGATGAGCAACACTTATAAAGGGTTAGAATATTGTAAACACATTAATGGGAAGAGCAACAGTAATGACTAATACATATTGAATATGTTGTGTGCAGCATTTAACATGCTGAGCAAACTGTATGAGGTGCATTCCTTACTGTATGAAGGAAATTAAAAGAGTTTGTGGAAAAATTCCATTATCTTTTAATTCTATGAATTTTTTTGAAGCCCCCTCATGTTATCATTCTTCATATTGTAAGCTAGTTTAACAAAAGCTAACAATGAGCAAGTTTATTTGTGTACCTCTGAGAAGAGCTAGGTTAGTTTTCCTTTTAGACAAACAATCAGAGAAGAACTGGCACCAGTACTACTCAAAGCATTTCAGATTATAGAAAAGAAAGAACACATGAGCAACCATCTAAGGTGCAAACATTAGTCTCTCCTTGTGCAGAAGAAAGATGAGTGATAAAAATTTGAAGATGCTTGGAATGAACTAGTCCAATGGACCAGTGGACAATGTGGACATTAGTCACCATGACTCTGAGGACAGAAGAACTAGATGGTGCCTGGCTTACCACTACCTACTGCTCTGAAAGGGATCTTATTAGAAGGTCTTGGATAGAGTGGGAGAAATGTGGAGCAAAACTCAAAATTATAAGAAAAAGACTGGGCTTGCTGGTCAGAAAGAGACCAAGGAACCTGAGATTATAGCTCTTGACCACATTTCAGGTCTGGATTTTCACCCAAGCAATAGATAGCTATATGGTGGGGACAACAGCACTAGCAAGATATGCTCACCATGGAATGGTCAATCATTCAATATCAAAAGGGCAACATTTACCTAAGGACAAAGTTGATAAAGGATGGGAAGAGGGATGAAATGGAAAACAGGATGGCAGTGGGATAACTCTTACTGTATGGTGGGATTGCAGTCATTGAGATGAAACAAAGTGTATGATTTGTTGAATGTACAACTGATGATCTTGACTATAATCCTTCATTCAATTCACAATAAAAAGTTTAAAGAAAAAAGAAAAGAAAGGAACACTCCTGAGTTCATCCTATGAAACCAACGTAACCCTGATATCAAAGCCAGGCAAAGGCAACAGACACACGCACACTCAAACACACAAATAATAAAATAAAATTGCAGATCAATATCTCTCGTAAATATAGACACAAAAATTCTGAACAAAATTCTAGGTAATATAATTCAACATTATCTAATAAAAATAATAAATCGTTGCAAGCGGGATTCATACCAGTTTTGCAAGGATGGTTCAGCGTTAGAAAAGTCAATCAATGTAATCATCTTATAAATAAGACAAACAAAAAGAATCACATTATCATCTTAATTTTGTTGTTTATTGTTAAGTGCCATCAAGTCAATTCTGATCATAGTGACCTTGTATAGGGTTTCCAAGGAGCAGCTGGTGAGCTTGAACCACTGACCTCAGAGTTCAAACAACTTTACAGTCTGAGTTATTAGCCCACAGCACCACACCAGGACCCCTTAATAGGTACAGTTAAAATGCATTTTTTAAGGATATTATTGTAGGATAAACACTAGACTGCAAGGTCGGTTTGAACTGCAAGGTCATCTGTTCAAATTCACCAGCCACTCCTCATAAACCCTATACTGGTTTGCTATGAGTCAGAACCAATTCAATGGCACTAAACAACAACACCCATTCTTGATTTAAAAAAATAAAAAGAATTATACAAAACCAATAACCAACACTATTCTAAATGATTGCTCTTGAGTCGGTTCTGACTCATAGTGACCCAGTTTAGGGTTTCTGAGGAGCGGTTGGTGGGTTTAGAGACTGAAAACATTCCTCTTGACAACAGAAATCAGACAAAAGGATACAGCTCATAACCACTCTTATTCAACATTGTATTGGAAGTCCTAATCTCATAGATTGTAAGGGAGTTTCCCAACAGTGTGGCCTACAACATCTTTTATCTTACAAAAATGAAAGGAGACATAAGTGAGCAGAAAGGGATGGACCTATAACCACCAAGAAAGAAGAGCCAGGAGTGCAGTGCATCCTTCAGAGCACCAGGGTCCCTGCAATGCGAAGTTTCTAGATCCAGGGGAAGATTGATTCCAAGATGGATGAAGATCGCCAAGAAATGTTGGGCCTACAGACAAGAACCATTCCCAGAGCCAACAAAGAAAGAGAAAACCTTGCCCTTGAGATGGAACTATGAGTATGGACTCTAGCCTCCTAAATTGTGAGAAAATAAGTTTATATTTGTTAATGTCACCCACTTGTATTTATAAGTCTTAGGAGTTGTAGTGTGGTCCTGCAGGATAATGCACTGAACCACAAGGCCAGT